CCCCAAAACCCCAAAACCCCAAAACCCCGAATGTTATTAATGTTAGGATAATGAAAGATCTTTGAAGATTTTATATCTAATAAATAAATTAATCAGTATAAATAAAGGAAATGAAAGGATTTAGACTAGTGTAAAAAAGTATTCTCAATTAAAACCAAAGATCATTTGCTCACGCATTGGTAAGTAAAATGGCCATAAAAAGACTATTCACTATATATTGATGTTAAAAATGAGTTCAGATCTTTATTAATTGCTATTATAGACTGGAGCTAAAGTGTTAGTTGCTGGATGCAAGGGCTAAATAGGTTTACCATTGGTTCACGCTCTTTGTAAAGAAGTTGGAAGAGAAAACGTAGTAGCAGCAGACATCTCTGACAAAAAGGCAGATTTACCTTGCAAATTTGAGTAGCTAGACGTGGCAGACTTTGGCAGGTACGAAAAGATTGTTAAGGACCACAAAATCACCTATATTGTCCACTTAGCAGCAATATTGTCTGCTCTTGGAGAGAGATTCCCAGATAGAGCAAACAGCGTCAATGTGACTGGGTTCCTGAATGCAATCAATCTAGCCAGAGACAACAAGTGCAAAATCTACTGCCCTTCATCAATAGCAGTCTTTGGAGGAGAGCACTTCCCAAAAGTTAACACTCCAGACGATGTTATCTTGTAACCAGAAACTATTTACGGTGTTACTAAGGTCTTCAATGAGATGTTAGGGAATTACTACCATAAAAAATTCGGAGTTGACTTCAGAGCTATTAGATACCCTGGAGTCATCAGCAGTGAAAAGTATGAATTCAATGGCACCACTGATTACTCAACTTGTAAGGATAATCTGAAATAATCATTCTTTAGAGATCTTTTTTGAGGCTCTTGAAAAAGGTCATTACAAATGCTTCTTAGGACCCAAGTCAGACCTCCCCATGATCTACATAGATGATTGCATTCAAGGAACAGTAAGCATTATTTATTTCAAATGTTTAATTCTAGATTGACTTCTTGAAGGCAGACTCTACAAAACTTAAAAGAAGGACTTACAATATGGCAGGAATATCATTCAATCCTGAGCAGCTAGCAGCATCATTATAAAAGTAGAATTTCTTAAATTTAGTTTTAATTTAACCAATGTAGATTATTACCAAATTTCGAAATTTAATACGAACCAGATTTCAGATAGAAAATTGCAGATGCTTGGCCCAAATCCATTGATGATAGCAACGCTTAAAAAGACTGGGGCTGGTCATACAATGTAACTGTTGATGACCTTGCTCAAAAGATATTCGATGGTATTGACGAACAATATAAATAAGGACTTAAGAAATACGCTTGATAGAAAATATTTAGAGAATAAGCAGCCATGCCGAGTGGTTATTTTAATATCAAAAACAGATTTTAACCTTCACACACTCAATATCTTTCCAGTGGGGTTTTGGGGTTTTGGGGTTTTGGGGAGATCGGAAGAGCACACGTCTG